TAAGAACGACACAAATGCCAATGGTCCCGCCTGCCATTTCATAGTTTTGCAACTGGCCCATTTTGATATCATTTCATCTCTAGAAGGAGTGTATGATCTCTGTCTATCCAAACTATTTAATTGCAGATCATTTCATGCGATGTTAAGAACGACACAATCGCCAATGGTCCCCCCTTGCCATTTCATAGTTTTGCAACTGGCCCATTTTGATATCATTTCATCTCTAGAAGGAGTGTATGATCTCTGTCTATCCAAACTATTTAATTGCAGATCATTTCATGAGATGTTAAGAACGACACAAATGTCAATGGTCCCCCCCCCCCTTGCCACTTCAGGGTTTTGCAACTGGCCCATTTTTGATATCTTTCATCTCTAGAAGGAGTGTATGATCTCTGTGTGGCTGCAGCGAGGTCGTTAACAAATCAAAGTCTAAACAAAGGCTTCTACGGGAATTCATAGCTTTAATCAGAGTATTCATTTCGTTCCGATTCGTTCCGTACCAGTACATTCCATTCCGTTTCATTCCGTACCAGTATATTCCGTGAAAACTCTTTGCCTGACATAATGACAAACTTATGACTGAAATCTCCTTGATGCTCATTTCATCTCTAGAAGGAGTGTATGGTCTCTGTCTATCCAAACTATGTAATTGCAGATCATTTCATGAGATCTTAAGAACGACACAAATGGCAAGGGTCCCCCCTTGCCATTTCATAGTTTTGCAACTGGCCCATTTTGATTTCTTTTCATCTCTAGAAGGAGTGTATGATCTCTGTCTATCCAAACTATGTAATTGCAGATCATGTCTCGAGATGTTAAAAACCACACAAATGGCAAGGGTCCCCCTTGCCATTTCATAGTTTTGCAACTGGCCCATTTTGATATCATTTCATCTCTAGAAGGAGTGTAAGATCTCTGTATATCCAAACTATGTAATTGCAGATCATTTCATGCGATGTTAAGAACGACACAAATGCCAATGGTCCCCCTTGCCATTTCAGGGTTTTGCAATTGGCCCATTTTGATATCTTTTCATCTCTAGAAGGAGTGTATGATCTCTGTGTGGCTGCAGGGAGGTCGTTAACAAATCAAAGTCTAAACAAAGGCTTCTACGGGAATTCATAGCTTTAATCGGAGTATTCATTTCGTTCCGATTCGTTCCGTACCAGTACATTCCTTTCCGTTTCATTCCGTACCAGTATATTCCGTGAAATTTCTTTGCCTGACATAATGACAAACTTATGACTGAAATCTCCTTGATGCTCTGGCAAAAGGGGGATTCTCGTACCTCAACACAACCATGTCTAGGTAGCCTTCTGGGTGTTTAATTTCAAGTGAATTTGTCCCACCCTTAACATCTCCTGGAATGATCTGCGATTACATTGTTTGGATAGACAGAGATCTACACTCCTATATAGAGATGAAATGAGATCATTTCATGACATGTTAAGGGCGACACACAATGCAAGGGTCCCCCTTGCCATTTTGGGCGACTCAGAATGCAAGGCTCCCCCTTGCAATTTGTCCCGCCCTTAACATCTCATGGAATGATCTGCAATTACATTGTTTGGATAGACAGAGATCTACACTCCTATATAGAGGTGAAAGAGTTCATTTCATGACACGTTAAGGGCGACACAGAATGCAAGGGTCCCCCTTGCCATTTTGGGCGACTCAGAATGCAAGGCTCCCCCCTTGCAATTTGTCCCGCCCTTAACATCTCATGGAATGATCTGCGATTACATTGTTTGGATAGACAGAGATCTACACTCCTATATAGAGATGAAAGAGATCATTTCATGACACGTTAAGGGCGACACAGAATCCAAGGATCCCCCTTGCCATTTCATAGTTTTGCAACTGGCCCATTTTGATATCATTTCATCTCTAGAAGGAGTGTATGATCTCTGTCTATCCAAACTATGTAATATTGCAGATCATTTCATGCGATGTTAAGAACGACACAAATGCCAATGGTCCCCCTTGCCATTTCAGGGTTTTGCAATTGGCCCATTTTGATATCTTTTCATCTCTAGAAGGAGTGTATGATCTCTGTCTATCCAAACTATTTAATTGCAGATCATTTCATGAGATGTTAAGAACGACACCCCCCCCCCCCCCTGCCACTTCAGGGTTTTGCAACTGGCCCATTATGATATCTTTTCATCTCTAGAAGGAGTGTATGATCTCTGTGTGGCTGCAGCGAGGTCGTTAACAAATCAAAGTCTAAACAAAGGCTTCTACTGGAATTCATAGCTTTAATCGGAGTATTCATTTCGTTCCGATTCGTTCCGTACCAGTACATTCCATTCCGTTTCATTCCGTACCAGTATATTCCGTGAAAACTCTTTGCCTGACATAATGACAAACTCATGACTGAAATCTCCTTGATGCTCTGGCAAAAAGGGGATTCTTGTACCTCAACACAACCATGTCTAGGTAGCCTTCCGGGCGTTTAATTTCAAGTGAATCTGTCCCACCCTTAACATCTCCTGGAATGATCTGCGATTACATTGTTTGGTTAGACAGAGATCTACATGTATACTCCAATATAAAGATGAAAAGAGATCATTTCATGACATGTAAAGGGCGACACAGAATGCAAGGGTCCCCCCTTGCCATTTGGGCGACTCAGAATGCAAGGCTCCTCCCTTGCCATTTGGGCGACTCAGAATGCAAGGCTCCCCCTTGCAATTTGTCCCGCCCTTAACATCTCATGGAATGATCTGCTATTACATTGTTTGGATAGACAGAGATCAGTGCAGGAGTATACACGCCACATCTTAAGGCAAAATTCTACCCGATATCATACGTTTAAGCCTACGGAAGGAGCTCCATTCCTGAGGGAGATGGAGTGAATCTGAATTAACTTTTTGACGGTTTTTCAGGCATTAATATAGAACGCATTTCGTTTCCAGGCCGCCCCTTTGGTATCATCCAATCACTTTTATTCGTGGTTTTCTCTGGCTCTGGACTTTCTTCTATCAGTGCAGGAGTATACCCGCTACATCCTAAGGCAAAATTCTGCCCGATATCATACGTTTAAGCCTACGGAAGGAGCTCCATTCCTGAGGGAGATGGAGTGAATCTCATTTAACTCTATTGGGTGTTTTCATGCATTAAGATGGAGTGAATTTCGTTGCTTGTCGGCCCTTTTCGCATCCGTTTAGTTTCCATCTGGGTTGCTGAAGTATACCCCTTACAGTCTTAGGCAACTTCCTGCCCGATTTCACACATTAAAGCATGCGGGAAAAGCTCCATTCCTAAGGAAGATGGGGTGAATCTCATTTTACTCTATGGGGTGTTTTCATGCATTAAGATGGAGTGAATTTCGTTGCCTGTCCGCCCCTTTGGCATCCGTGTAATTTCCATCTGGGTTTTCTCTCGGTCTGGAAATTCTTCTATGCTTGCCGGGGTATACCCTCGACAGTCTAAGCCAACTCTCTGCCCGATTTCATTCGTTTAAGAATGCGGGAGGGGCTCCATTCCTAAGGAAGATGGGGTTAATCTCATTTTACTCTATGGGGTGTTTTCATGCATTAAGATGGAGTGAATTTCGTTGCCTGTCCGCCCTTTTCGCATCCGTTTAATTTCCTTCTGGGTTTCCTCTGGCCCTGGAAATTCTTCTATGCTTGCTGAAGTATACCCCTTACAGTCTTAGGAAACTTCCTGCCCGATTTCATACGTTAAAGCATGCGGGAAAAGCTCCATTCCTGAGGGAGATGGAGTGAATCTCATTTAACTCTATTGGGTGTTTTCATGCATTAAGATGGAGTGAATTTCGTTGCTTGTCGGCCCTTTTCGCATCCGTTTAGTTTCCATCTGGGTTGCTGAAGTATCCCCTTACAGTCTTAGGCAACTTCCTGCCCGATTTCACACATTAAAGCATGCGGGAAAAGCTCCATTCCTAAGGAAGATGGTGTGAATCTCATTTTACTCTATGGGGTGTTTTCATGCATTAAGATGGAGTGAATTTCGTTGCCTGTCCGCCCCTTTGGCATCCGTATTCTTTACATCGAGGTTTCCTCTCGGTCTGGAATTTCTTCTATGCTTGCTGGGGTATACCCTCTACAGTCTAAGCCAACTTTCTGCCCAAAATTATACGTTAAAGCATGCAGGAGGGTTCTATTCCTGAGGGAGATGAAGTGAATCTCAATTAACCTTTTAAGGGGTTTTTCAGGCATTAAAATGGAGCGAATTTAGTTTCCCGGTCGCCATTTTGGCATCCGTTTACTTTTCATCGGAGTTTTCTCCGATGAAAGCCTGCGGGAGGGGCTCCATTTTTTTAGAGTGAATCTTAACTAACATTTTTGGGGGTTTTCAGGCATTAAAATGGAGCGAATTTCGGCATCCGTTTTGGCATCCGTTTTTGGCATCTTTTGGCATCCGTTTTGTTTTCATAGTGTGTTTTTTTTCTGGCCCTGGACTAGTAGGGAAAAAATAAAATCTGACACATGGCTACGAGCCCATAAAATCCCATGCATGAACGCGCAGCTTAATATTTTCTCATGAATTGCCCCCCCCCCCCCCCCTCCCTATCCGCCGACTTGATCCGCTCCTGGTCAAAGCAGTATACACATAATTATGATACGAGGCGGGGAAGTGTCCTAACACCACTCCTCTCATATTCACGAAAAGCATCAACTCGTAGTCTTAGCCCCAATATAATTTCTGTGGTTTTTGTTTTCGTTGTTAAAGTCCGTATTTTCTGAACACAAACGTTTTATGAATGCAACACTTCACTTTTCACACATTCAAAGATTTTTCTTTTACCACGATCTCTCACGCGAACCATTTCATGCGTGAAATCTTCATTTTGATATCAATACTACATTCAAATGATGTTTGGAAATACAAAAGTCATAATCGACCGATCCAAACTTGATGTGATGAACGATAATAAAAAGAAAACGACCTTTGTACTTTACTTAAGCGAGCGAAGTTCAGTTTATAATACCAATCTAACGCGATAAAACCACACATACCAATGAAGCATTTATTATTGGCGTGTGTTATAATCGTTGAACCGAAATTGCATTCGAGAAGTTCATTTTGTGCATTACTTCATGGGCGATGGCGGAACCATAACGTACGTGATCTATAAACATCTGCAATGGTAGATTATATCTAAACAGGTGAGTAGGCGTTTCGTTATTCTGTTCTTCCAATCGTCATGTGCGCTGCAGGAATTTTGGGGGTAAAGAGTACCCATATATTTAAACTGAAACCATCTTAAACAACATTTTACATGCGATCCCTACACTTTACTTTATTTATGTATTGCAATAAATTTATTCATGCATAAAGGAAATAGATCATCAAACCTCGAGCTTTTATTTTGAACCGTAGTTTTAGGAATTGTTGTCTGATGGTAGGTTTTAAACGTTAACTGTCCTGTGGTAGCTGTCCTTGTATGTATTCCGGAAGGACGTTCAAGGGTACTTTGTCCAGCCATCGGTTTTACATTAAAGGTACTACATGGGTAAGCGTAATCAACATTCATAATTAACTGTTATTTCCTCATTACATTTCGTGAAATCATGATTAATAAATCTACAATTTCTAAAGACTTTAATGTCTTTACAACGTTCTAAAATTCGAGTGACAAAAGTAAAAAGTCATGCAAATAAAAATTACTAATGATAGGTAGCTTCATGAATAGGATTCTTTAAAGAAATTTTGCTGTAATTTCCAGTGTTTAAGGTCATGCTCTCGGCCAGCAAATCCGTTTATATCACCAAGATCTCAAACACTGGGAGTTACAGCAGATTCTTTCTAAACAGTTATTATTGTTATTATTATTTTGTTGTCATACGTTCGTGCTTGTCTACTGATATTTTTTGCCCCATTCTTTTTTTTCGGGGGGGGGGGGTTCATTTTATTTAAATTATTCTGCTTTGTTTTTTTCTTTCATGAAGAATGGAATATTATCTTGATAATTGGTGATGTCTTTGAATCCAGATTAAGCCTACTTTGGGGAGACCCTTCATGTAAAATGAACTCTTCAAATAAAAAGCTCTTTCGGATCGTCAACATACTCTTCAGCATAATATTTTTCTTGGACCCGTCCAGGGAATTTTTGAAGAGATAAAGACATTTCCAAGAGAAGTAACAAAGTATGAATGTCACTATGAACCACACTACATCCCAAGGAGTTGTAACAAATGCGTCGACCACCACCGTCACCATATATACGACATCGACGATGATGAATTCTACGATGACAAATGCAACGACGACGGCGATGACAACATGGTTAACGACCAACACTTCTGGTTGTCCAGAAGGGCTTACATGGATACGAGATCACTTTGGTGACTGTGTGGAGACGACCACTCAGTTATTCGCCTTTTCATGTGCAATGATTGGGGTCGCCCTTTGGATCATCGGTCACTTCTTGTAAGTAAAAATTACGACTTGATTTAATTCTAAAATCGTATATCAGATATGTTGTCGTGGGTTCATTTAGTTGCAAAAGTGAATACTGTTGTGATTTTCATTGCAGGATAAGTAATAATAATATTGTCATCAACCAGGAAATGGTCTGACACTGTCTTTTCAAGATCTTTGTCAGGTGTTTATTGCTGGTTTTGTTTTGTTTTTTCTATTTTCCTGACATGTGTTGATGCTCAACTAAAGTACGAAGGATGTTAAAATGTATTTTACTTGTACTTATCAATCTTTATTGATTGGTCTCAATATAGTATAATTTATGATCCGTGTAAATTGGGTCTAGCTTTACTTCGCATACTGTAATCATGTGGAGACCTCAATCCTTTTTCATCCATTTATTTCATTAAAAAACACATATGTGTTAGATATAAGGTTCTCTCTTGTTTAGCTAATATATACTAATTATGATAATAATCCATTCTTGTAAAGCGTATAATAACATTATAACGTCCCTATGCGTCTCCAAAGAGATACGGAAATTATTACCCTAGCTGACGCTCCAGCAGCCGTTATCAAGAGATATTTCATTCTTTAGATGAAATTGAATCAAAAAGCATCATACAAACCTCGAAGAACTGTACATTAAGATATCAATTTCTTTCGACGAGTCGAATACCAAACATCAAGACATTCATGAAAACATGTCTTTGTTGGTGTTGAACTGAATTTCAAAGTTATGAATTTAGACGTCACAACAGGTCCCAAATTTTAAAAAAAATCATTCATACCAAACATAAATATTTACACGGAATCATTATTATTTGGTTGACAATATCTTACGTAATGTATTCATTAAAATTCACTATAGTGATTTGCTCATTTTCATAATATCTTTACAACATTTAGCTTGTTAAAGTCTTATCGGTCTAATCCTGACTTTTCCTGCTATCATCTTGGCTTCATCTTCCTTGGTGGATTAGGATCGGTCTGCAGCTTAGTCGGGACAACACTTTGTGATCAACTTGGCACACAGGTACAAATAAATAGATACATTATGTTACATAATATTATAACAGCCTTTAAAAAACGAGTTCATATGTTACCCCTACCTAAGATTTCCCTGAACGAAGAGAAGTGCCTCTATTGCAAGATGAAAGCATACAACCGATTTATTGCGTATAGAATTTATTACAGAATCAAATACACCTGTTTTGTTGCTTTGTGAAAATATATAGACTTGTTTGGAGAAGTTCGTTATCTAGTACATTAAAATAGTTGTGCAATATGAGTTGCACAAAATAATTCTCAACTGGGGAAAAAGAAGAAGAAAATGCCAAGTACATTGAAAGCACTGTGCTCATAGAGCAGAGATATTGGTATATGGGACTATAACTCATATTACTACTATAACTACTACTACTACTACTACTACTACTACTACTAATACTACTACTACTATAACTACTACTACTACTACTACTACTACTACTACTACTACTACTACTATTACTACTACTACTACTACTGTTGCTACTACTACTACTACTACTGCTACTACTACTATTTCTAATACTACTACTACTACATACTACTACTACTACTGCTGTTGCTGTCATTACGTACTACTACTGTTGCTACTAGTACTACTACTACTACATACTACTACTACTACTACTACTACTACTACTACTACTACTACTTCGTAATAATACTCCTACTACTACTACTACTACTACTTCGTAATAATACTCCTACTACTACTCCTACTACTACTACTACTACTTCGTAATAATACTCCTACTACTACTACTACTACTACTTCTAATACTACTACTAATACTACTACTACTACTACTACTACTACTACTACTACTACTACTACTACTACTACTACTGTTGCTACTACGTACTACTACTACTACTACTACTACTACTACTACTACTACTACTACTACTGTTGCTACTACGTACTACTACTACTACTACTACTACTACTACTACTACTACTACTACTGTTGCTACTACGTACTACTACTACTACTACTACTACTATTTCTACTACTACTACTACTACTACTACTACTACTACTGCTGCTGCTGCTGTCATTACGTACTTCTACTGTTGCTACTAGTACTACTACTGCTACTACTTCTTATGCCACTACTACTACTACTACTACTACTATTACTTCTACTACTACTACTACTACTACTACTACTACTACTACTACTACTACTACTACTACTACTATTACTACTACTACTGCTACTACTACTACTACTACTACTGCTACTACTACTACTATTACTTCTACTACTACTACTACTACTACTACTACTACTACTACTATTTCTAGTATTACTGCTACTACTACTAGTAATGGTACTATTACAAATTCTTCAGGTGTTACATGTTCTTACCATAGTCAATACAGTGAGTCAGTGAGAGCTTTTATATGCTATGAAAAACCGGATGCAATGTTTTCCCACAATCAATCACTGCCTTACATCACTAATGTGATTCTCCTGAAGAAGTCATATCTTAGAGATGTTGTTTAAAAAAAACCACTCAATTTCAATTTTCAGATACTGACAGCGTGTTATCTGGTCTTAAGTGAATTTGTACTACTTGTACAGTGGATCTACTGGTGGAACAGAAACAGAAAGCTCAACAAACAAGGACTCTCATTCTATGGTAAATGAAAGAAACAACATAATTGATTTAATTCAGTTGTAGATTTGTCGTGTTTGTAATGGGGAGAATTGAGCTCTAAATAATGCCGCCGTTTGTGATAACATATTGATAAAGAATAGTCAGTTTACCATGAGGCAGAGTTCATTTGTCAATGCTTGCGATTGATTATTGAACGCAAGATTTAGACATATTCAGCTATATAACGGAGGGCTATATATGACCGTCATGAAAAGAGTTATCACATACAAGTTTGAGCTTAAACCCATTTGATAAACAGTGCAGTACAAATAATGTATTCATTTGATATGAATGTGAAATACAACCTTAAAGATCGGGATGAATCATAAATGTAGAAAAACTGTACCAGTTCAGCCAGAACACGGTGGTCTCAGGGCAGGCTAGAGATCATTCTTAGGCTATATACTAATGTAATTAAAAACGTTTCATTTTATTATTTCAGGCCTGCCTTTATACGATGGATAACCCACTTTGTTTGAAACCAGTAATGGTAATAGTAGAAGGAAATTATATAAACATGTAGAAGAGAATAAATTTCATGATTTTTTTTTTTTAATTTAAGTGTCTTCAGAGGGCTGGAAGTCACCTGATAGGACACGTGACGAAAACACGATGAATGGGGGCGGGAACCTTGTGCTCTGTTTGATCTGCCCACTTCTAATGACGGCGTGCTATTTGCCAATCAGATTCAGCAGTATGTCATTACCATGGCAAACGAGTTACGCAAGCCACACCCCAGGCCGAAAACTTCTTATGGTGTCGGATGTAAGTCCATGCTTAATAAGATTTAGAGCAATAATACCAAAACAAGACAATTATTTCATGACAATTGAAAGGCTGTTTTTAGAGCAATTCCTTATGTCTTCTTCCTAATTATGGTTTATATGTAATATACAATATTATATGCTATTCATGCTGCCAATTATTTAGTTATACATATTTAGTTAAGAATTTAGTTTCCAATTCGTGTTATTTTAATTTACAAGTACCTCGTTTCTGTATCCTTAATTTATATAAGTTTCTTTTTGTTTCATCGACAAATTAAAAAACTTCATGAAAAGGTAAAGTCGTACAAATATTGATGGAGACAAAGAAACGGGTACTAAAAGAAGGAGCGTGTTTAAAAGGCTCCTGTACAAGAAAGGCTTTATAATTCAACCGAAGCATTATAGTTCGTCTGTCCTAAGAGTAAAGGAAGAAACAAAGAAGAAGCTTCGGGTAGGATGTAGGTAGATACATCTATCCAAATCAATGATGATATAGGGTATGAAGGTTCTGATTGCTCAAAAGTTTTTGAAATGTATTATATTTTTAAGTTTTTCTTTTCAGTCTGCAACAGATAACTTCGGATATGCCATGGGATTTACAGCATTATTCCTCTATTCATCATGTAATATACCAACTATTGTCAATATCGTAAGTCCCATTTAAATTGTTTCTAAAGATCATTTGTTTCTAAATGGACTTTAATCCCATGTCTAGTGGTATTTGCTAAACGAACAATTAACCTTTGAACCTCTACTTGCAAATGCAATTTGAAGAAATCCATATGTTAATAGAATATATAAATGTGAATGCCATAGAATACGTATACACCATATCGGTAGAATGATACAAGCATGTTGATATTCGTTTTGTATAGTTTAAGTATCTATGATTTTTGTTCTTTCTCTCTCTCTCTCTCTCTCTCTCTCTTTCCCTCTCTCGAAATCAAACCCTGTGTTATAATTAAATTAAACCTTTTGAGACAGTCATTCTACATTTGTGGTTTAGCTCATAACTAGACCAGATGAATGATAGAAAAGCCATTTCTGCGCACACTGTGTTTACTTTTGATGCATGATCATATTATGTTTGACGCCTAGTATTATAAAAAAAAAAAGAAGAATAAGCTTATGGCAACACGTTGAGAGGTTCAAAATCTTCTTTTTCCGACCTAATTGGTAATGTCTCGAGTCTTTGAATGAGTTCATGACCATATATTCCTTTCAGATACATTACATTTTATTGCCAAAAATGTAGAAATTAAATGAAAAAATTATGTTCTTGCTGATTTGAAGAAAAAAATATAACTTGTGATTAATTTAACCCTTTAACACTTCTCTCCCTTTCTCATCCTCTCTTCTTGTCTTCCCTTCTCCTAATCTCTCTTTTTTTTATTGTTGCTATACTGAAGACGTACATTTTCTTTACTCAGAGATATATAATTATTATATGCTTGATCGCAGAGGCAGTTTCTTACTTCCACATTATATAATCGTTTTTCTGTTTTTTATTTTTCTTTCTTTTATTTTCTTTACTAGATGAGGCACAAGACGAGCTACACAGTGTCTATGTGGTATCACGGCCTTGTCATCGCAGCTAACGTGTTTTATTTCATCTCTATTATAGCTCATAATACAGATCCTGTCTTCCTCACCAACGCGCTTCCATGGTTATTAATAAGGTTTGGTCCCCATATCCATTCTGTATTTATAATGCACCCCATCTTTCTCTAATAACATATTGTCTACCATCTTTTCCCACTCCTTATTAAAGAGGTAATGTGTCGCATCTTTATACAGCCCTGTATTAATACGGTATTGTTTCTGCACATTATTTTCTCCACCCTCTCTCTCTTTCTTTCTTCGTCATACTTAATATCTTTCATTCCCTTTCTCTCTCGAACTCTCTTTTTTTTTTTTGCACATCCTCGTTTTTATTCTTCCCTGTTCTCTCTTCATTGATTCGTTTGTTTGGTTTTAATTACGTTCTTTCATTTATATAGTTCACGTTTACATAGCATAGAGAAATAGGCCTATGGTCGTGTCATCCTGCTGCTATTTGTTTTCAGATATTGTATTTGTTTGTGTTTGTCATTATGTTTAAGAGTAGTCTTATAATGAATCATGTAAATTGCTGCCTCAGTCAGTGTATGCATGTGTAAACCCTAACCCATAAACGGATCACTCTCGATCTGTTCTCTTTGCATATTGATTCAAAATGATTCAAATGAATACGTATATTACAACAAATATATATATACAATGAAACGAAACAAATATAAACAGCAATGGCACGAAAAAGAGGAACTAACTAAAAGCAGAGCTTATTGAAGTATAAGTTCCTCGCATATCAATAATAGTAATTAAAAAAATAATAATAATATTAATAATAATGATAATGATAATAATAATTATATTAGCTGTAATAATGATAATACTGTAATATGTCCATTTACATATCGCAGCTACTACCTGAATATAGTCTACTGTTCTTAATTCAAAATATCATATTATCACCCTGACCGTAGCCGAGCCGCCTTAACAAGGCGATAAAGCAGTCAAGGAATTGCTTCCTATCAGGTAGCCATTTACTTCACCTGACCGTAGCCGAGCCGCCTTAACAAGACGATAAAGCAGTCAAGGAATTGCTTCCTATCAGGTAGCCATTTACTTCACCTGACCGTAGCCGAGCCGCCTTAACAAGGCGATAAAGCAGTCAAGGAATTGCTTCCTATCAGGTAGCCATTTACTTCACCTGACCGTAGCCGAGCCGCCTTAACAAGACGATAAAGCAGTCAAGTAATTGCTTCCTATCAGGTAGCCATTTACTTCACCTGACCGTAGCCGAGCCGCCTTAACAAGACGATAAAGCAGTCAAGGAATTGCTTCCTATCAGGTAGCCATTTACTTCACCTGACCGTAGCCGAGCCGCCTTAACAAGGCGATAAAGCAGTCAAGGAATTGCTTCCTATCAGGTAGCCATTTACTTCACCTGACCATAGCCGAGCCGCCTTAACAAGACGATAAAGCAGTCAAGTAATTGCTTCCTATCAGGTAGCCATTTACTTCACCTGACCGTAGCCGAGCCGCCTTAACAAGACGATAAAGCAGTCAAGTAATTGCTTCCTATCAGGTAGCCATTTACTTCACCTGACCGTAGCCGAGCCGCCTTAACAAGGCGATAAAGCAGTCAAGGAATTGCTTCTTATCAGGTAGCCATTTACTTCACCTGACCATAGCCGAGCCGCCTTAACAAGGCGATAAAGCAGTCAAGGAATTGCTTCTTATCAGGTAGCCATTTACTTCACCTGACCGTAGCCGAGCCGCCTTAACAAGACGATAAAGCAGTCAAGGAATTGCTTCCTATCAGGTAGCCATTTACTTCACCTGACCGTAGCCGAGCCGCCTTAACAAGGCGATAAAGCAGTCAAGGAATTGCTTCTTATCAGGTAGCCATTTACTTCACCTGACCGTAGCCGAGCCGCCTTAACAAGGCGATAAAGCAGTCAAGGAATTGCTTCTTATCAGGTAGCCATTTACTTCACCTGACCATAGCCGAGCCGCCTTAACAAGGCGATAAAGCAGTCAAGGAATTGCTTCTTATCAGGTAGCCATTTACTTCACCTGACCGTAGCCGAGCCGCCTTAACAAGGCGATAAAGCAGTCAAGGAATTGCTTCCTATCAGGTATATTCACCTGGGTGGAAAAATGGCAATTGTAGATTAATATATTGCCAAAGGAAATTAGTGCTCAATATGATTGTATTATGCATACATGTTCACAATTATTTTTCTCTCACTACTTTTGTTTTTACAGCTTGTTTTTTATTTTCTTTAGTTCAATTGTATCCTTTTAATCATCATCGTGGCTTAGTTTTCTGTTTTATTTTGTTTTCATACTAAACACTTGTAACTTGTATTCTTAAGTTTACCATAAACTTAAGTACAGTAAATCTTACCACTTATTGCACTTAAACTAGTATTTCTTATATATAATTTTCACACATGATGTTTTAATGTAGGAGTTTGAGAACTTAAGGCAATTTTTTTTTTTAGGTACCACGCACCGTACAAAATAATGCCGTGTCTTTTTGTTTAAATATAACTACTAAATGATTTATCAATATCCAGGGCACATGAAACGAACCCTAGCCCCCCCCCCCCCCCGCCCCGCCCTCAATTTCCCCGGCAAATATAACTTACTTTAATGGGCTGGTGGTGTCTTCTTCATTTTTAACTATGGATTTTATTTTTTTAAATCCTTGATCAATCTTTAACGCAGTGCTGTGTCTTTACATCTGTTTAATTTTAATAATTTATCATTTTATTACCACTTATTAATTTACCGTTTTTAATATTCCTTTCCTTGTATTCATTTATTCATCATGATTCCATTGATTTTATGAAGTGCACAATGTACCTGTATAGACTGGCGAAGCATTATTTTGGTGTGTTTAATATAGGGTATATACGGGGCTGTACATGCTAATTAACTTCTTTTCTTTTCTTCATGTCATCATTTTCTTTTATTTGCCTTATCTTCCTTATTCTTCTTTAACGTTGCATCTGTTAACTGATAATCCTTCATTATTCATATGTATGCCCCTTTGAATTTAGCTTATTCCATGTATGTGAGATTTGTTACTATGAAGGAAAAATGTGGAACAATGACTTTAACTCGATCATCAGATTATATTTCTTGTGCTACGGAACCGAGGTATTGGATCTCACACCCGCCCAGTAGGTCGGCGGAGACCAGACGGTACGTTCCTCTTGTATCCCAGTGAAGAAAGTTTAAGCTCGGATCTCGATCGCGGAGGAACACTCCGTTTTACAGATGATACAGCCTCGGGAAAGCTACCTAGTATTCAGGAGGAACCACACCTTGAAAATACCGTACAGAAAGAAGTAAGAATTTCTCTTTGAAAAGATTTCCTTGTTGCTTATAATTATCACTATCGATGCGCTTCTCCTGTTTTGGTCTATACGAGGGCATGAAGCTATTGTTTAACAGCGAATTACAACAGTTATTCTTCTATAAGGCTGTGGAAATTTCAAATAGATCCCCAAGAAAAATACGATTAATTCATTTGAACAGTTTTTAATTACTACTGCTACTAAATCTGGTTTTCTGTTTTCTCTTTAATCTCTTCGTCTAGGTCTATGAGAAAGTTAATAGCCTGAATCTGATAGCTTTTTGAAGGGTTTTGATTATTTTAACGTCATGTTGATGCATTGTCCTAACAATCATGATCTCAATGACTGAGAATGAGCACAATTAGTTGCAATTGCCCTAGTTTAATCAAGCATAATATGTTCTTCTAGGCTGAAGGTCAGGCCGACTTTGAAGATGTGGAGCTCGATGATGATTACGACGCTGAGACAGCCAGCATCCATAGTCGTGCTAGTGATTTCATCATGGACGACGAGGAGGAGGTCTATGACCGTGATCAAGAGGAAAGACAGAGGATTGCGAAGCAGAGAAGGGCTGCCGACTTTGAAGATGACGGTTTAGAGGTACATAGATATACATCATAGAAATGTATACATGAACAAAGATGTCATATTAAACAATTGACTGGAAATGCAGTGGTTATGAGTTTGAGCCCCGGCACGGCAACACTGTTTTACATTTGCCCCTCCTCCACTCCTTCATGACTGACTGTTTTGTTTTCATGCCAGCACGCGGTGCCCATGTAGTAAGAGCACTCCCAGTGAAGTGGAAATGCTTCAAATAAGGACTGACCAGGGGTAAAGATATCTCAAATGATGAAGCAATGATCAATTAGAGAATGAAATGATCATGGGATGCTTGAATATGCAAAAGATTTTAGACTGAGCCTTTAGGGAAGGGATGAGATATTTGAATACTTCAAGACGATAACATATAGATACAACAGTTCATTTGATTTGTATTTCTTAATTTTACAGTGGGATTTCGATGACTTTCGACCAAAGTACACGGGAAGTGCGGGCAGTTTGGATGAAGACTTAGTGGGTAAGAGCCCGCCAAGCCACCTCCGCACTCTAGGTGCCCAGCATGATCACGGCAATCATATCGACGATGATGAGGAATGGGACGAAGATAAGGTGCTTGGTGAAATCGAGAGGGAATTAAAAATGGGCGATGACATCGATGGTGATACTATTTCGATGGAATACGATACGGCCGATGATGATGATCATTTTGATGACATGAAGTATTCATATACGTCACATTCTCAGTGAGAAAATAATTTCTCTACGGAATAATATGTTGTTGTATAGTCGTCAGATAAGCAGGAATTCCGATTGCGAGGTTAAATTAAAACATTGTCAATAAGCAGCGAGATATAAGGGGGATCGAAAGAGAGGGAGAGAAAAAAAAGTATTTTCAAAAGAAGAAAAATATATATATATATGTTGCATATATTTAAAATGATAAAACCGAAAGGCTATCGCTTTCACCAATTTTCGACAATTAACTTAACAAAGTACTACGCCGCCGCTAAACGTCCTCCTTTTGTTTTGTGGATTTGTTTTCTTCTCTCTCTCACTCACTCTCTCTCCTCTCCCTCTATTTCATTCCCTTTATTTCTCACTATAAGCTACCCATATAGGTGCTTCTTTCGACGAAAATTTACCGGGAGCACCAGTAAATTTTGATATTTAATTTTTCTCGAACGCAGAAGTGTTTCAGGGGCTAATTTTTCTAGTGCTTATAACACATCCACAGGGGCATCCAAATATATCAACATTCTAAAGAATCTCTATCCACCAAATTTTCAAAATTTCCCCAAACTTTGTATCACCTTAAGTGCTGGAAAGTATCGCTTGTCCATGTAAACTTAAATCTACCTTGATCAAGAATAATGATATACAGTGCGACCAAGAAAAAACGAAACCGAGAATTATCTATTTAAACAAAAAATCCTAACTTAATCACAATATTATAATTAATAAATGACACATATTTATAAAGCTTTAGTCCTCCTCTTTCATTTGATGCACCTCATATGCTGCATATTTCACGCATGAGTGATTAAAAGCATTTTGAAGGAAGGAAACCAAAAAAGTAGTTTGGCGGGCGGTATCTGAATTTCGAAGAAACATTCACATTTCTAGAAAGTTCAGTTTCTGCCCTTTTATATGACACCTCAATGAGGGAAAATGAGCAAGGAATAACAAAGTTCTGTTTGTTTATAGTGATGCTTGCATTCCATAATTTGATTTTAAAAGTTCGTTTTCACTGGTTGCCTGCCGTAGCAACAAGTAGAATTGACAAAAGACTTAACTCCGTCTCATTGACAATCAGCCATGCATGGAGTCTTTCGTCTATGTCTGATCGTCAACGAAACGGAGTTAAGTCTGTTGTCAATTCCGTTTGTTGCTACGGCAGCCAGCCACACTGTAAAAAAAAATTTGTTCATTGGTAATTTTTACGTATTTTTTCCATGTAGAATTTACTTGCAAACATTAGTTTTGCCACTTACGCACTAAATTTAAGTCTTGCTAATTCAAACTTTCAATTTAGTAGAACATACGTGGAATATTTAAGTGAAATCAAATACATAAGAACTTTAAGTAATTTCAGCTTGTATTAATTTAGTAATTTTAACTCAAAATCAGAAATTATACGTATTACTCAAACAATTTATGTTGATTATTCTTATCTTTTTAAAGTAAGGACCGATGCAGTGCGTAATAGAAATATTTACATAATTTATGAATATTCATTAAGACCAAATTAAACTCTTTTTTAAATAAAACAAATCTTTTTTGTGGTTGAATGAAAATTTAAGGACTTTAAAACATTTACTAATTCATTTAACATGGCTAAGCAAAGACAAGACAATTTTTAATTGTTACCCAGTTCAAAACAAATCAAAACTTGATATTAATTTCAGGAAATTGTTAACCAATTTTCCTTTTAAGATGCTACGATCAAGTATATATAAAATTTGGAGCCTTTCAATATGTGTCGAATTGGAGCGTATGTAATAGTTTGTGATGGTGGTATATATATACGGTTAAATCTTAAATAGAAGTAGTGTTAGTGATTAGTGGATGTTACTTGTTAGATTAGATGGGTACCAAATCGTGCAATATGTAATCCTATCATAGCTTTTTTTTTAATTATCTAAAATGATTACAATACTTAAATTATTTACGTTAATGTAACTCGATTTAACTGAGTAAAAATTATTCAGCAAAATAAGTAAATTCTACTTAAAGGTATAGTTGAGTATTGGTAATTTCCAAAGTGCCCCTCCAAAACAAATTTGGTTTATTTCAGTACCATATGAAAGATCATCGAAAAAAACATGGGAGATGATAATAATTCCAAATCAAATGCTCTAATTGTTGTGCAATTTGCTTTCAAAACATTATATAAAAGTGTTTGACGTCCGGACATCACTTTTGACTTTCGACGGTTTATTTTTTGAATTTGATGCCGTAGGTAATATTTACTTAATAAAAATAAGGCAATTCTTTTCCTCAATTTAATTGAGTTATTTCGACTATTATTTATTTACAGTGCAGTGAAAACGAAATCGTTTAATCAAGTTATGGAAATGCAAGCATCACTTTAAACCAACAGACCTGTTGTTATTCCCGGCTCATTTTTCCTGATTGAGGTGTCATATGAAAGAGCAGAAAATAAACTTTTTTGGGTCGCACTGTATTGTAAATAATAAGCAGTAACAGGAAACATAATGTATATATGAAATGTCTTGAATATTGTTGTTTACCAAAATATGAAGAAGAAAAAAAGCTTTTTAAACATCGTTTTATTCATCAATCATGTATATATTTCATAAAATGCTAACAAAAAACGGCTAAACAAATCATAGAAGAAATTGAGATTCCAAAATCATGATGAAAAATGCATTGTAAATTTGTTTGTTTTAAATAATTTGAAAAATAAAATAATACTTTTATACAAAAAATATATCAAACCGAAATGTGCTTGGTTAATAAAAGTGCGCTAAAATATAATAAATATACGCAGTGTCTGTCTTTTACCCCGTTTTGCATCGTATAAGTTTATGTTTTGTCTTTCTTTTTCAGAAGTAGTACCGATAATATGAACATTACATCAGGAATGTTTAAAGTATAGGCTTTTGCGGCCAATTTCGCTATTGTTGTCATTCAAATTCATGAACGTGCATTCAAATTCACATAGAGGTCGCTCGCAAGTGAATTCGAGCATTCAAATTCAAATTCAAAATCCGAGTAATCAATTTCATTTATCGGCACTCTTATTCATGTTAGGTGAAATCAAATTCACGAATGTGCGTACAGTTTCCTACTTCGGGCATTCAAATTAACGCGACGCTCACGATGAGCCTGTTTGGAGCATTCAATTTCATCTTTTGAAGATCAATGTCCTACTTCGTGCATTCGATTAAGTGTGATATTGAGATGAATTCCAAATAACAGGGAAAATTTGATTTCGTTAAGTTGATTACTTGGAATTATTGTTAATCACTGTTACACACTGAAATCTCCACAGTTTTGTTAATGACCTACCATGACCTAAGGCTTCCTCACCATCTGGGAGATGTGTGATGGCTTCTGCTTCATGACCTCAAGCCAGATCTTCCTATCTTGTGACGTTCTGGTCGCTTTTGTGAGGGATCCCAGACATCTAGTAGCACAATCAGCCTTTACACAATCAAGTCATTTCTTGGCTGGTCTAACCCGGGGTCTATCTGTTGCCTTTTGGTAATGCATTAATTGATTATCATATCGCTAATTACATGTATATATAAACATGAATATCACGTACTACACCTTTATTTCAATATATATGTATACATATCCTAAATAATTGGAAACATTTATATAGTTTTAGAACATTAAACTTGTGATTTGGAGGTGATGTCTGTTATAATCATAATACTGCTGAAATGCATTTCCCCTCAATTAAAAAAAAAATGCAATTATTTTAAAATGCATTTCCACAAACTTGAATTAAAAACTTTTCAATCAAATTGTTATTTTGTATGATGCATACATTATATCAGTTATGTGTTCGTGTTCCTCTCTCTCTCTCTCTCTAAACCTGTGGTTTTCTCTTCTCCCCTTTTTTCATTAACCAGCCCCCCCCCCCCCCCAAAAAAAAAAAAATATATATATATATATAGAGAGAGAGAGAGAGAGAGAGAGAGAGAGAGAGAGAGAGCGAGAGAATAGAGAGAGAGAGAGAGAGAGAGAGAGATATTTTTTTTTAAAGTATATATAATATTTGTTTTCCCTCTTTTCTGGACTCATTTATATATCCCCTACCACCCCCCCCCCCCCCTCCGGCTACCCCTAGCCATCCAGAAATCATTAATATGCCCCCCCCCCCTCCTATTGTAAGCTGAATATCAGTCACCTATTGATCCAAAGAACAAATACATTTCCTATAAAGATACACTTGGCTAATATAGGATTTCCAGCCAAATTCGCAAGTTTGTCATTCAAATTAATTTGTCTTGCGTTCAAATTCGACGGTTTTAGTGCAGTCAGGTATATCTCGGGTTTATATTCCCTTTTCTAGTTTTCAAATCTATGGAATTTTCGTTAGACTCTACGTATGTTTCATTCAAATTAATGAAAAATGTGCTTCTTTCGCTATTTGGTCATTCGTTTTGGCGCAACACGATTTTCTGACAACGCGACGGTGTACTTTTAGCATTCTAATTCATTCGTAGCATTCAAATTAGCACTTTGCACACTTAAATTGATGGTCAATATACATTTCTCGTTTATTACACACTTTTTATAGCTCATTCTTTTTCTTTCAAGATTGTTTTTCCATGTGTATTTCATCATATTTCATTTTCTTGCATTTATACACTTATCTGATATTCATCAGCATTTAAGTTTGATTGTTAAGAAGAAAAAAAACGACTTGCATCTACGGACCTGATGGTCTCAGTATATTTGTAAATGTTCATGTAAGGAAGTTGTTTGTCTTATGTTTCATCATAAATTTATCATAATTTCATCATAATTTCATGATGGAAGAAGGGTACAATATTGTGACTGGGGTAGGGACTAGAGTCAACAATTTGAACATGATTCATTATTTAGCCATGTCTTTAGCCATCGATCTGCTGGCGGGCAAGTAAACTATGAAACTCTTTAAGAAAAACAGAGGGGTGTGCTGGGTATAAGAGACGGTGTGAATTACTTTTGTAAAATTCTGAGTCTGTAGTAAAAAGGGGCGATTGAGGGTACCCCCACCTTTTCCGGGTATATGAACATGTCCGTGCAGAAATGCCATATCCCTTGATTTCGCCCCTTCTTTACTTTATGTCTGACTACACCCATCTGCATTGTCCTGAAACTGAATAAATGGAATAACAGCTTAGACCCTAATGGCAAATCATGCATTTTAACTGCATTATTTAAAAACTGTAAAAGTTTGTTGCAATTCTTCCTCCTAACATTCCTAACTTGAATAAAAAATATTACGAATACTAATGACAGGTGTTAATTTGAATGATAAAAATTACGCTCCGACAAGTGAATATTAATTTGAATGCTAGTTGAGCAGTTTCTAAATTAAATGACAGATCTATGAAACCCTTCGACCAAAATCCTAAATTAAATACAAAAACTGGAAAATGTAATGATAGTTGGCATGGCAAAGCCGATCTGACTAAATTAAATGCAAAATAAATGAATTCGAATGACAAACACGCGAATTTGGCCGGGAAATCCTATAAAACCACACAACATTAAACACGGATAACACCCCCTTCAAGAACAAGTATACTTGAACTTCACCTATCTTAAGATCAGCATACACAATTCCACAATACTCAGACATTATGTACACCCGAGTCCACCACAAAATAAACAAACGTTTCGAAATTTTCTTCTGTATCTTGGTATGTGCATTAATACATTTTGAACATGCCTCGAAAAGAGTGAAATTTGTACAGCCTTTGATAAGTTGAAAGGGAAAGAGGAACCGAATTTGAATGACCACTGAGGTACCGTAGCCGGGATTAAATGAATTGCAATACCCTTTGCACAAAATGTACGCTCTTTGTAAACATTTTAACGATCCGATTAAACAATTATTGATTGCACGGATAGTGAATTTGCGAGTGCGACTTGCACCGATTCGACTACTCGGAAAATGAACTTGAATGAAAAATTGTGAAATTGGCCGCAAAAACCTAATAGTATTTTTGTTTTAATCAGAAGCTCTCAATATGGATAGTAATGATCAATTTGAAAACTGGATCGATTCAGTACCACACACCTCAGAAATGTAGAGAGTCTCTACATTTCTAATAATCACTTAATAAACAACATGATGATACAGCATATTATACTACAACACTTTCCACTGATCGACTACGGGGTGGCCGTGCATGCCTTGTATCCTAAGAAAATGCGTCATATTATTATTATTATCATCATCGTCATCATCTTCAATATTATTATTATTAGTAGTAGTAGTAGTAGTAGTAGTAGTAGTAGTAGTAGTAGTAGTTATTGTAATAATAGTATTAATAGTAGTAGAAGTGTTTTGGTTTTGTTTAAGTTGTTTTTTTATTGCAAAAAAAAAGTGGTATATTCTTAATTCCCAAAACTATGTATCATTCGGTTTTTATTTACAAGATAATTTTGTTATATTACAGCGCTCTGGAATGGGAATAGTGTTTTAATGATGTTCTGTATTTCTGGAAGAAGAACAATTCTTTAGCAAGAATATACTTGAATAAAAATATAGTTTTGGTGGTTTTGTTTGCTTTGTGAGTACTTGGTAACACTGAATTTGTAGGGAAAAGAGAGAAGAATAGTTTGTGTATGGTGATCGTAAGTAGACGATTATAGAGGGAGAGAGAAAGAGAGAGAAAGAGAGAGAGATAGATACAGAGAGAAACAAAGTGAGGGAGAAGTGAAAAGATCGGGAACAGATGTTGATTACATTCCCTGTTATTCTAGAAGTTTACAACATGTGATCAAATCAACACCAATTTCATAACAGGTTTTCATTTAAGCTTTATGCAATTCGAACACTACTATCATTACTGGTACAGTTTATCTTCCCTTCAGTATCCCATCTTCTCGACAAACTTCACTTCGCATAATTATCAACCTAAGAAGTCCGTTAATGACGCCGTCGTAACACTGATTCAAGAAATCGCACAACATACCGATAAACTTAGATGCTATATATGCAAGAGTCATGTTCGCAATTTTTTCATCAGCATTTGATATTATGCAGACCCATATTCTCTTGTAGAAGTTAATTAGGATGAACGCACCACCTTCTTTAATTTTGTGGATAAAGGACTTTCTTACGGACAGGACTCAAAGACTTAAGTTGCAAGGGGTTTTATCTTATTCAATATATATCAATACCGGTGCCCCTAAAAGGATGTGTGCTTTATTAATTTATTTTATTTTGTGTAATAATGATTGCATGTCTGATAATAGGAAATGGAAAGTGTAGTCAAGAGGGCGAGTAAAATAACAGGAAATAGACGCAACCTGACAGAAGAATGCAAGGCACGAATCCTCCGAAGGCTAAACAGATCGTCGCAAATAAGAATCACAATCTAAATTATATATAATATAATTATATATAAAATATATGAATTATTACGGTCAGGAGGAGAATGCATGCGCTCATTGAAATGTCGGACAGGCCGATATTTGGGCTCATAATGTTCCATACTCCGTTCGTTTGTACAACCAATCTTTTATTTTTTGATGGTTCTTTTATGAATATAAACACAACGATATAGTTTCTCATATTAAATAAATATATATATTTTGTATTTTTACAATGTGTGACCAAAACAAATGTCCATGTATTCTTGTGAATTTAGATGAAGAATTGAATCGAATTGAATTGAATAACACAGCTATTCATGGACATCCAGTCACGGACAACTAATCCCTGTAGGACATTTATTCCTCGGGGTAGTTATCGAAGGGTAGTTGTCGAGTCTTGTGCGTGGTCGTTCTCATGCGCATTTAAAGGCACAATTTGTATCCGTTACATTATCCCGATCTGGGAACTTCAATATACAAAGAAACTTTCTTTGCCATTAACAAAGCAAGTGAATCTCCGTAAGGCCTAACAAAAATGTTGTATTGCCCTTTAGGTGCCAAAACATGAGTCGGTTCGTCTAGGAATTTTTTTTTTCTCTCTCTACGGGCTGATATTTCTCAGTTGTGAATGCTTTAATTTATATTATGTTATCCATTTATTAAAGTTTTTTTGTTGTTAACGTTATCAAAAAAAACCAAAAAAAAGCCGACCGTAGATGTCAAGATTTTTGGGTCGGTCGCATAGGGCAATACAACATCCTTCTTTTTTGTAGGCCTAACGAAGTAAGTTAGTTCTAAACCATTTTATGTAAATGTATAGAGGAAGCGCGTTATATTATACAAGCAGGATATACATCCACAGCACAGGTTATAATCCTATACGGTATTAAGAGATTACCTTCCCTCGTCACACATGGACGAGTTAAAATATACGACAAAAGGTGCATTTCGGTTCACAAGAATTAAGTACGACTAAATCTCGACCCTTCAAGAATGAAGACAATAAACAATTAAGTACCCTAAATCTCGGCCCTTCAAGATGAAGACAGTAAACAACACTGACACTTACTAAAGCCCTTGTCCATGTTAATCTTATACAGTAAGGAAGCGAGGAGTTGTTATGTTCTTAAATGAAATGTTTAAGTAGGCAAAGAACATAAAAGAGAAGCAGAGATATCTCCACATGGAGCAAGCAAGTAACGTGGATTTGTAGTGGCTTCATTAGTAAAGCCATGTAGGTTAAATGGATATTACTCGAGACCTGAAATGCCTTGACGAGGGGAAGATTACTTTATACTCGATCAGGCTATATACATTTGAATAGTCGTTGGTGATAGTAATTAGAACTTCCTGAGTGCTCCGGGGTCTGGATTCATCTGAAGTTCAACAACCACCCTTCAGCTTGGATATCTAAAGAATCGAATGAAGGTTACATGCTACGTGGATGGGTGACACAAAGTGGTGCAGACAGTTAAAGAAACTGCTTGCAAAGTCGATCATCTTTATATAGTCTCGGAGTTACGAAGCAAATAATTACGCGGTAATACTTTAAGAGGACAAATAGAAGCTCCAACGATTAAGCTGCATCGTACCATTTCCACCATTGTCCAGCCATTCTGTGACACCCTGTGATACCCTCATTTCGAAGAGGATTTGATGAGGATATTCGTTGAATAATCACGACTTCAGAGAGCTTGAGCTACGATTGAGCAGAACCATTTTGATTCTATTTTTTGATAACGAGCGCCACGCTATCTTCTAGTATCTGCTTTCTCGGTGCAACTAACACCATTTGGGCTTGAATATTCGTTGATACAACATTTGGGTGTTTTGGTCGTCTGAAACGTGCATGGCTACTGTCAACAAATATTTCTTGGCAATAAAATAACATTTTAGCTTTCAATAAATGCTTCTGATAACTTTTGTTGTTCTGTTATCGGAACATTTTTAGCTGAAGGAACGTGATTGTTTTTCGCAGCATTTGTGAAGTAGCAAGTAAAGGACAGACCATGTGTACCATACGATAAATTCATGTTTGCATGACCACTGCTATTTGCTATTTTAGATTTACATGGAATAACTTCACCATTTTAAGTTGTTTTTATCTTCATTCTGAGAAACATAGTACATTGAACATGTCTGCGTTGATTTCTCGGTAAATTATCCATGCTTACGCGTTACTCTATGAGATGAAAGGAATTGTTTATTGGTGAGACATTGGACAGACTCGTACGATGGGAGTCGTAATCTCTAAAACATTTGGAGTTCCATTTACGATCACTGTAAAGACTGGTGATCGTAAAGGAGCTGGTACGGACGCTAACGTCGTCATCGCCCTCTGCGATGAGGAAGGTCGACGATCAAATGACCTCTATCTTGATTCCCTCTTCAGAGACGACTTCGAGAGCGGTGGAAGAGACCGTTTCCTTAAGATATCTGGCGTGGTCGACTTCGGGACGTTATCACACATTGAACTATGGCGAGATTCAAAGGGATTGTTCGATGATTGGTTCTGTGATGTCATCGAGGTGATTAACATGAAAACAAAAGAGAGACATGTCTTTCCTGTACATCGATGGATACCAGCCAACCGAAAATTCAAATTAAGACCCTTCGATATGATTCTTCCCCAGAGGGATGAAATGTTACATTTGAGGGAAGAAGAATTGAAGAGTAAGAAAGAATTGTACAAACTGACACACAACATGGCCATTCCACAGGTAAGACAACTCTTACATATACGTTATATCAAGACCATGTTGTTGTTGTTTTCTTCAAGATAGTTTACGTAAACAGAGATTTTACCTTCATCTCTTGTAAATGAATAGTAGAAGCAGTCTCTTCCGAGAGGCTTCTACGTAATACGATGTTTTATCTTCTTTTGTGGTGAATCCTAATCCTTAAATTCAAAAGCCTGTATCTATCTGATTAACCCTTCTTTGCACATAGAGAAAGAGGAATCAGATTTGATGGTTGGATGGTTCCTTTTCTTCTGTTTTGGCTTATTCAGTTGTGACTATTGTCGCCAAAATACCTAACGCCACATATCTCATGCATTGACACAAAGGTTGCTAGTAAACAGTAACGCTCAAGGAAAAAAACGGATAGAGTAAACACGAACATCGTACGAATAAATTCTACTACCCCCCCCCCCCCTCCCCCTGTCCACACACAACATTTTTCCGTGATTAGGCGTGATTAGCTAAACCGTTTCGCGATAGTTTTACGATGAAATTGTGTGTGTGGACGCTCACTAACGATACGTCGTATAACGAAACTAGTCTAACGAAAAGCAGGTTTGGGCATCGTTTCGAACTAGAACTCAATAAAGAATTATGCCTAATCACGCCTAATCACGGAAAATGTTGTGTGTGGCAGTGGCCAAAAAAATATGTTAAAATCAGCCCTAAATTCGCCCAAAATGTACTGAAAAATAGGGGCGTGCCCCCCCCCCCCCCCCCCAACGGAGCAAAATGTCAAATTAATATATATATGTTCCCCTCCCAGCGTGTGCCCCCCCCCCCCCGACAAGAAATTCCTGGATCCGCCCCTGTGTGGACAGGGGGAATGTAACTAGTGTAACTAACTGGGCGGGGCTTAACGTGACCTCGAGCGAAAGGAGACCAGGGCCCCGTCTTACAAAGAGTTGATATCAATCGTAACTTATTTGCGATTGATATCAATCGTAACTATGTACATAAGAAATAGGAGACTGCAAACTTGCGATTGATTGGAGGACTTACGATTGATTTGGATCGATCGTAACTCTTTGTAAGACGGGGCCCTGACCTCTCATTTCCGCTTCCATTTCATGACCGCAGTAGTAAACTGGGCACCTAGCTATACGACATTTCGCTGAAGAGTTTCAGGATTACTTTCTTCTGTGTGTGGACATCCTGGAATTTATACGATGATTATTTATACGACGTTTTTTGTGTGTGGACACTCTAAATGTTATACGATGATTCTTTATACGACGTTTCGTTATAGAGTTTCGAAATAAATTGTTTTGTGTGTGGACACGCAGAGTCGAGAATTTTTGTTATCCCTCAATTATTGTTATCTCTGTTAGTATTATTATCTTTTTATTAGTATTATTAATATCATCATTATTATCATCATCTTTACTATTATAATTATTACAATAATTATTATTGTTATTATTATATTACAGTATGTTTGTATTGTTATTATTTTTATTATTAACATTATTGTTTTTATAAAAATAGTTATTATTGATATAATTATCATCATCATCACTATTATCGTTGTAGTTGCAGTAAAAGTAATAATCTACTTTTATAAATCAATGGATGACGGACATGTGCGCTTTATAAGAAGCAATGTCAGAGATCAACAAGGTGAAATGTGTTTATCAATAATAGTGTGGAACGTGTTGCTTTATGACGTAAATTACATTAAATACATTGGTATATGTGATAAATTCCACATGATCATCCAATAGTATGTCTATCATCTTCATATTTAGTCTACTACTCTTTTGATAATCTAGATCTTCTCCTCCTTCAAATACACTTTCGATACGGAAGAGAAAAGGTGAAATGCTTGCTCGGTACTTTCGAAGTATTATCGGATTAAGACAAGCGCTCTAGAATAATTGAGTTAATCGTTTAATGATCAATTGAAAGGGATTAAAATGCTCTGAAACCATAGAGATGCAAAATAAGGGAAGTCAAAATAACTTTCAAAAGAATGGTAGTATCGACTTAAGTAGCCTCATCATCATGCCATTACTTTTCTTCGTAATTGTCCTCGCTCCCTCAATGTAGGCCCCGACAATATTCCGCTGTAAACCTTACAAAGAAGGATTTAATCACACCTCAGAATGTTTGTAGGTTCATGTTTTTTTCCTCAAATGATATTACAGTCTACATAGTGTAGCTACAGGTATAGTAGCTATATAGTGCATGTAACATTAATGTAGCATTAATATATTACATGCACGATAGCTTTGATATCTTTGTCACAAGAAAAATCTTTGGAGGTTGAAGACAATATTTTGGTTAAAATCGTATCATGCAACGTATCCTTATTGATTTTATCACAGATAATACATGTATAATGATGATGTTGATGATGATCTCTAGAAGTATGACAAAGTGAATCCGATAAAATGAGAGGGATTCAATCTACATGTATTACCACCGGACTACGTGATAACAATAACAATAATTCGAATGATGATAATAATAATAATGATAATAATAGTAATAACAACAATAATAATAATAATGATAACAATATCAATAATAATAATAACATTGATGATGATATAATGATAACAATAATAATAATACAGACATCTATAACTCGCTACATATCCACCCAGAGGGTGCTCAAGGCGCTTACAATGAGCTACATAATATGCTTAAATACAATTTTGCTTACATTACATTATACATGGTTAAAAAAAAGACGATTTTAGTTAAAGTTGGCAATTAGATAAGTTTTCAGACTGGCCTTGAAATTATCTACTGATTTACAGTTAGGGAGACTGTTCCATAATCGGGGAGCTGCTGAGGCAAATGCTCGATCTCCCCATGATCGTCTGGTCTTTCACAGTGCACATTGCAATAAATGCATCTATCCGCCATAAATAATGCATTTACTTGTCATATCTGTTTTATGTACTATGTAATGATCACCGTCTCTTATTTAATGACAGACTATTTGATGTAATTTCTACTTGATAGACACCTAGTTCGAGTGTGCTTATAGGGAAGACATTGAATTATGAATTATTTGCCACTCTCACTCAACCCAAGTGTAGTAAAAAGGAAGGAAGTTTAAAGCTACTGATCAATTATAATAATAATAATAATAATGAACGTTATTTGTATAGCGAATATCACTAACACAAAGAAAGTCCCTATGCACTTAGAAAAGAGGGAAATAGAGATAGTTTATAGGAGTCTAGAATGGATATGTGTAATTTGAATGTAGCTAATTTTATTTACACATTATGAAACCAATGATATTGTTTTGTTCTTATTCAATAAGGTAAAATCGTTCCCCAAAGACGAGTCCTTCTCTAACGACTATTTGGTAAGTGCAATTATTTCCTCTTCTTACTTTTAAACAGACTTTATTTGTTTCTACAGCTGAGATACCATTTTTTTCTTCTCTTTTCAAATTTCTCTAAGAATATACTTTAAGAGGTAGAATGGTTCATATAGAATGGACACATATTTCAATCAGTGATATTGTAACTGATTATGATCATGAAATACTGAGCAAATGAAATGGAAAGGTACAACTACAATGAATAGATATAAATATGGCTACAAGTATTGATATAAATGCCTAACTTTGTATTCAAACCTTTTCACTGGTATGAACATTGCTTATATTTTTAGTACCTTGCTGGCATTAATTTCTTTATCTTATTGGTGACGATTGTCTGTTTCTATTAAGCGCATGATCACAACTTCTGAAATGATAATTTGCGTGATATTTATCAGATGATGTCTGGTGTTTTGTAAACATTTTCTGCTGTACTGTCTCGAAGATTTGCATGACTTAATATGCATCGCAGAGTTATTACTATTCATGAAAAGATATTTTGTATAATTGCATTAATCAATTTCAAGTTGTCACATTTAACCATTATTATGTTATCATTACGTTAATTTTCTTTCCGGAAAGACATAGTACAACCATTAACAGTAGTACTTATTTTCGTTGTTATGGTTACTACAGTGGGACTAGCCCTGGCAAGATCATGGAACCAGTTACATGGTAACATCGATCTTGCATTGTTGATAATAATAATAGTGGATTCTTATATAGCGCTCATGTCTGTCAGATGTGACACTCTTGGCGCTCCCGATTATTACCCTGGCTTTAGCACGGCTACCATTACGGCGCTCTAGCATTTCAAGGAATTAATTCCTGCCAGGTACTCATTTTCATCACCTGTATTGATGTTTATTTTGTTTGTGTGATTTCTTTAGTGGGACCTTGGCAAGAACATGGTAACACTGACGTTGAAAGCAAAGATGACACAGGTTCTGACAGGGAAGTGGAAGTCACTCGAAGACATCACAAAGATTTATAAACCACCACTCCTTCCTATACCTGAGGTAGGCTCATATAAACTATTCTACTAAACATTCCTTCATTCAGTGTCGTCACGACATGCATTTATATACATATTCATAAATACGCACAGAGAATAAACTTTATGCGAAATTTGGTTTTGTCTGAGGAAGCCTACTACTGTAACAATGAAGCAAATATTCGCTACCAGTGTAACACTATCAGAGTGAATGGTTTCTACTTCGAAATCCCATAGAAACATGTGCATTGTACAACAAAGTGAACGGAAGGGAGTACATTTTCCTCATTCATTATACTTAATCTTTAGACAGGAGTTAGGAGCAGGTATGTTAACAAATGCAACGTAAGTTACATCAAGTTACGAGAGTCGTTAAGAATAGGATCGTGCCTATAACTTATAAAGATGTAAGTAAACAGAATATTGCATTACCGTATACAAATATATAAACAATATCTAAATTGTTCCTCAAATTTTATTGAAAATAGAAATATTACAACTGGAAAACGGATAAGAATTTCGGATATCAGCGACTAGCCGGCTGCAATCCGGGAATGATTCGTCTTTGTACAGAGATTCCACAGAGGTATGTAGAGCTGCTATAAAGAATATGGCTTTATGGTTCTGATAAAAGCGAAAAATAAAACTCCCGCAACATAAAACATTAATGGTAGGTCTTTAAATCTCGAAATCAGGGGATGAATCTCATCTTACAAGCAACCCATTTGCTACTGATATTAAATAACAATAAGTCTAGACAATGTTTTCTTTTTCTTTCTAAACGCATCATCAAAATCTCGTTATACCAGTAGTATTGGACATGTTATCATTCATTTGATTCTTATTTTGGTGTATTCTAATATTCTAATCGTTGCCTCACAGATTTGCAGTAACCGACAAAGCTCTGCAGCCGCTTCTTGGAAACATGACAATTGAGGAGGCTTTGGTATACAAACGACTGTTCATCATAGACTACGAATTCTTGAAGGATCTTTCATGTTCATACGGCCGAACGGTACATAATTGTGAAAATAGTTCTAAATAATATGTAAGATAAGAAGCTACTGAAATTTGTAGAAAAAGATATCAAAGTTTAGTAAGGGAAATATTTTAAATGAGAACAAAAAGAAACGTTTGGTGGTATAGGAATAAAGCTACTTTTTGCCAGTTCTTTCCTTGATCCTTTAGATATACCCGAATCCACCTTTGACACGATCTTCATACCCTCAAACATCATTAAGAGCAAAAAGATTTTAAAAAGTAAAACAATCCTCCCAAACAACAACAAAATGATTATGAAAATAATTGTTTCAACGGAATAATTAAACGTCTGCTGAGAGCAAGAAGTGAGTTAACTCTATAAGTCACATGTAACATTATTCTAGCTCTCAAGGTATGAACCATTCATTATGAAAACGATCATAACTTACGTTAAAGGCCAAGGTCTTGATAAAGAGCATTTGAAAGCAGATTCAATGTGTCGAAATAAATAAACTTATTAACTCGTGACGGATAAATGTTGTGGTACATCATGCACATGTACAGGACCCTGATCGTTTTTAAATCTTAACACTGATCTAATAGCCTATCAAAACTAAAATTTTACTATCATAACGCAATTTTGTAAATATTTTTAAAACAGATATGTGCACCGACAGCTCTCTTCTATCTCAACGATGCTAACTGCCTGATGCCTGTAGCCATTCAACTCTTCCCAGATCCAGCAGACAATCCAGTAAGTAAAGAAACAATCTTAAATTGTCTTCTTTTTATTCTGCTTTCGTGGTTTTCATTTTCCTTTTCTTCTCTCGTCTTCTTTCTCCTCACTTCGTCGTCTTTTTATTTTCCAACTTAGATTTTTTTTTCCCCCCACAAATCTTCTTATTCACTTTCATTCTCGCCTCAACGGTCGATCAACCGTCTTTGATCTTCTTTCTCTTCCTTTTTGTTCTGATTATTCCTCTCGTTTTCTTGATCATTTCCGTCTTTAGAACATTATTATCACTTTCTCTTTATAAAGTATCCGCAACCTTTTTTTTCTTCGTCAATCGTTGACGTTGTTTTAAAGCCTATTTGCACTAGTTTGGCCAGGAGGAATAAGACCTCCCTGCATGGTCACTGACAAGTGGTTATCTCATCAAATCAGCTTTCAATTAACATAAGAAAAGGGAGACCGTGGGGAGGGGGGGGGCGCAATGCATGGTCACTGATTAGGCATTATTTGCTATATAGAGGGCACAAATAGCTATAAGTAGTGCAGTGGGGCTTTAATATCATCATCAATAGTGATCTGTCAGTTTATAACAGATTCAGTGACCCAATCGAAATATATTAATTTATTCCTCAATATTATTGTTGTCAAAGGTTTAATTTCTTTTGCTATGACCTTGATCAGGTCATTAGCGTAACATTCCCTATACCCAAATATCCTCATTTCCCTTTGATTTCAGTTGATCAATATTATTGAAGTGATACAGACCAATGCATGCATGGATCCACATAATTCTTTAATGGCTTCCACCTTTCTTGTTCTCTTGACAGGTGTTTTACCCTACAGACCCAGAGTATACCTGGTTACTCGCCAAGATGTACTTTAACAATGCTGACAGTGCGGTGCATGAGTCTGCTTCTCATCTTGGTTTCACACATGTAGTAGGGGAAGCCATCGTAGTTGCTACTCATCAGTGCCTCTCCCCGTCTCATCCAGTCTTCAGACTCCTAGCGCCACATTTTCTCTATCTTATTGCTATCAATAAGTAAGTGTATAGGCTAAAAATGTATTTCGCTATGACAGAGGAATTCTACCTCTGTCGAGCCGGAGCTTCGACCATAAAGTTTCCGAAACCGATGAGATTTCGGTCTTTATATTAGACCGTCACACAAGTTGGGCATTTTATCAGATATAAAATAGCGTTCGTTCAGTCAAAGAAGTCGGAAAGGTTCAAGAGATCAAAATTTGAAGACATTTTGGTCTAAGATTTAGGATGAATATAGTCACGTAGGCCTACGTGTCGCTGCAATCAGAATACTTAATTTAATGGAACAGTGACTGAACCTAAAAGATTTCCACTGTCCTCAGATACTGTATTGATGAAAGTTAACAATGTACTCTTTGATATTCTTGATGATCTTCAGTAGAGCTATTGGCCAACTGGTCAGTCCTGGTGGTTATGTAGACAAGACGATGGTGATTGGACGAACAGGGATGTTTGAGATCATCAAACGGACGTGGTGCAACTGGAGATTAGACGTACAGGGCTCCCTCATCGGTGACCTTGAAGACAGAGGTGTCTTAGACCCGGAAGTCCTTCCCAACTATCACTACCGGGATGATGCCTTGTTGCTGTGGAAAGCTATCAATGACTATTGTAGAGTCATCATATCCCAGTATTATGGTATGCAAAATTGCAAATGTGTCGAAAATTAGTCGTGTGTCCTTTTGAAAGGATCTCGTTGAAATCATAACGTTACAAATTATCTCGTAAAATAGGCCAATATGGCTGACTCAATGTAGGAATTTATGGGTAGGAATTAGGATATACCGAAAGTGGCGGATCCAGGACCCCGGGCCAAAAATACTCCCAGGCTATCACATTTGTTGGCGTCTTTTTCATGTATTTCACTTTAAAGAAAAGTAATTAATACAATTTAAAAACACAATTTAAAAAACATTTCAGGCTGAACAAAACGCAAGATTCTAATCGCAAATAATAAAGGATAATTCTACATCCAATCTCTTTCTTTTAATCATCCTTAAATTACTTTTTATTTTTCATCATTTTAGATTCTGCCGAGCAGGTGGTAGCCGATCCTGAGCTCCAAGAATGGGGGCGGGTCCTTGGCGGCAAGGCAACACACCCGGATGAAGTCACTGTCAATATGAAGGTATTTTATTCACACTCGACGATACCCCCAAAAAGCACTTTTATAAAAAGAGCAGTTCTCAGATCGCTTATCACAATATGTAAATCAACATTCTATAAAGCATTTTATGTTGTATACATATAGCTGATATTCAAAGTAGTAGAAGAAAGAAGTTAACCTCAGTAACAGTTTCTTTATATTTCTGAATGTTGCGGGAGAGGGGACATGGCCAGGTATCGCGTCACTATTACATGCTCTAGTACATGTTTTACTTCCATACACTTGACATAGGCTATAACTAAATATTTGGGATAATTACCTTCCATTTAAACGGCAGACCTTTAGGATATTATTATACACTATTCTCGATGTGAAATGTTTTTCGTCCGGATCAGTGGCGTTTAGACAATTTTACCATTGTCAACTTTGAGCAGTATATCCGGGGTTCAAGATATTGTAAGGGCATCGGATTTATGAATGAAAAACTCGCCGCCTGGGGATCGAAAGGGTATCATCATTCTTTCCATGATCCATTTTCCTTCTTCTTCCCTCTTTCTCCTTCTTTTTGCGAGCGGATGATTTCTTCTCAGTTTTGTCTTCTTTTGTTTGTCGTGCGATTTGTAGAGAGTACATGTGGGCATACACCCCTGCAGCTACCCCATCGGTCTGGGTAGATTTACTGGATATAATTTAATTTACCTAATACATTTTGTTTTCACCTTTTCACCCCTTTTTTTCCTCTCGCTTCAAACTTAGGGAGTGCCTAACGGTGGTAAATTCCTGAAGGTTGAAGAGGTGGTGGACACTGTGACTAACTTTATGTACATCTGTAGCGTTGCTCATGCCAGCGTCAACTTTGGTCAGTATGATGAGTATGCATACCCCCCGAACTACCCGGCATGGCTACATGGTAAACCACCGACTGACAAGGTATGTTGGGATCGAAATAAAGGTAAATAAATAAAATATGGAAAAATGAAAGGAGAAAAAGAAAGAGAAAGGGAGAAGAGGAATACAACGTAATTAATATGACCCTCTTCCATTATGCACCTTGCCTCCTCATTAGATGAGGTATTTCTGTAGCACACCATTATTTTCTTGTAAGTCTTTGCTCCAAGTTGGTTTGAATAAAATGGAAGTAGGGTTAGTGGGTTACATAAGAAATTGGATATTTTTATTATTACTAGTCGAGGGATGAATTGTTATGCTGAGTGATGTGAGCCTTGCAGTTGAATAAAAGACACTAAACGAGTGCGAATCGTAGTGACATCGTACCGGTCGCTCGGCTGACCATCGACTGCTATAGCTGATTTTTTTTTTTGCCCTGTCCTCACATCGAAAGGCTCGAGAGACCATGACATGACATGTCTCTATCAATATTTATAAGACCATTCGGGACCTCATTCATGCTTTACTTTTACCAAGGATACTGATACTTCTTTTGGAACCCTGTTTTAATCAGGAAAGGTGTGTGGTGTCCTTAACGAATTCTGCTGATTCTTCCGTTTACTATCCTAGACTCCACTGACTGAGAAGGATATCATCGCTCAGCTGCCTGGTAAAGAGGAAACCTTGGATGCCATCGTGCTAACTAAGATCTTGAGTAGTAAGGGCACCAACTCACTCGGGGACTTCGAGGTTCAGTACATATATGATCCGGATGGACTTCAAGCCCTCGCAAAGTAAGTCTTTTTGCTCGACTTCTTTATCATAATTACACGCCTTTTTTATTTCCAAAGAAAAAATGTATTCAATCATTCTTGAGCAAGAACAAAACACTAGATTTGAACAAAGTACATGTTGTGACATATCGGTAAACAAACATTGTTACATAAGTTGATAATTACCGTTGATAATCACAGTCCTTGATAATGGCGGGACGTGTGTCTGATAATTGAAGGGCATTTACATCATGTCTGTATGGGGGGGGGGGCGGGCGGGCGGCACCAGTCTTAGTCGTTTAATGCGTTAATGACAGTTTTGATTTTAACCCACTTATACGTAGTCTTTTGCAATGTACATCAAGTTCTAACGGGGACGCAAAGTCTGACTACTGAAAATGGACAAAGATTATTATTGTATTTGTAATGATGTTCCTTTTGTATCGCTTTTATTTGTTACAATCAGCGTGGAAGTCTGAACAAAATATAGTGCCTTCTTTTATTTCCTCACCTTTCGTTTCTGTTATTCTCCTTTTCTTTCTGTATATCCTTATTTCTGTTTTGCCACATTTTGATGGGGTATATTCCCCGGTGTCACTGGCGTACTGTTGCCCCCTCCCCCCCCCCCCAAAAAAAAAAAAATCAATGGTCGTTTATATCTAATTCGATTTAACTAATTGCGCCCAAAGCTCGCTCGCTACGCTCACTCACATTTTAAGTTGATATAATTATGTTTTTTATTAAAATATCTTTTCAGTCTTCAACGATCAGATTGTGCTTTAAATCCCATCATAATGTTATCCCCTCTTTACAAGATGAAGTTTTTGCACTGCAACCTCAAATATCTTAAAATCTTTGCCCTATTTCGCTCGCAAATAAATATATTCAGACCATCACACCAGAAGGCAAGGTATGATGCTTGAGCAATATATTGGACCATGTAAAGAGAGAGAAAAACAGTAGTCATCCCTGATAACAAAATTACAATGTAGAGGTACATACCAATATCTAAAAATGGCATATTTTCACTTTGAGGTTTCTCTTTGTATGTGCCCCTTTGTGTTGACCCCTCCCCCACTTTGTAAGACCATCCATTGCCCCTGGATAATGGGTAGGATATTAAATTATCGTCTCATTGCTCAAAATGTAAACAACGTTATGGTGGGTAAATGCAAAGTACTCTAGACTCATGAATAATTAACACAACAAAAACAATAGCTTTTTGACCGTTATCGTCAATATCTGCATCCACACCCCCCCCCCCTCCCCCTTTTATGTGGCTCTTTTGAACACCCTGTGGAGCATCGTCCACGAGCCCCGAAGAGGCGAGGCGATTTTCTTTTTTCTCTCGCTATTTTGAATCAACGTAAGTGATGTTTTCTTGGCATCTACTAACACAATGGAGACCATAAAAAGTCTGGACAGATGATGGCGTTTTTCTATATGCACATCACATTTTCACTTGGCAGACCAGGGAGGGGGGGGGGGTTAAACCCCGAACCCCCGTAGATCCGCCCCTGGATTCTTCTTATTCTATTGCTTCTTATCCTTGTGCTTCTTCATTTTTCTCCTTCTTCCTTTTTTAAAATTAATATTCGTTTTGTTTGTTTTCTTGTGCAGATTCCGCAAAGATCTTGAGGAGGTTGGACGAATTATCGATAAACGGAACGAAACGCGAGAGGTCAAGTACACCTATCTTCATCCGAAAGATATTCCGAACTCCATCAGTATTTAGCTCTTCAATAGTCCATGTTGGCCTGTTCTTGCTTTGCATTGATCCAAACTGCATAACATAATTATATATATATATATATATATATATATATATATATATATATCTTCCTAACTACAGGACATGTTAATGTTCTTGGTAGGTACGTCACGTAGACATTGCGTTTGTTATCTGAGGTTTTATACACTTCGACAGGGACGGATCCAGGGGGTTCGTGCCCCCAGCCCCAAAAATAATAATGATAATAATTAGTGCGCATTACCCCCCCCCCCCCCCCCCGCTTATTCAGCGGCTGGCTGAGTCGTTGCGATTTTTGGGGGACCAAAACAAATATGTCCTCTTACACCCCCCCCCCCCCCACCCCCGCTTTTTTGGGACCAAAACAAATTAATATAATGTCCTCTTACCCCCGTGTGCCCCCCCCCCCCCCGAAGAAATTCCTGAATCCGCCCCTGTTCGATCAATAATTATAAAGACGGATCTCAATATATGTCACAGCATGTCTCAGACTACATGTTGGTGTTGACATGCCTGAAAGGCGCCATGGACACAATGGCAGGGAATGGAACCAGCAATGCATCTGTGTGTTGAATCAATCGTTGTCTTACTTGATACAGATGGTTCTTATAGGTTTCTCAGAGGGTGCCTCCTAGTTGCCGTTGAGGTTAAGATGGCCCTTTGCATGTATGGCAGGCTACCGGTTGATTAAGGGGAGCCACTGGTCTGTGCCCTTACACAACATTTTTGTATTGATAGATCGTTAGCCTTCAACCTAGCAAAGTGTTAATGGATACACTTCACCCTTTAAAAGGGTATATTACTCCACAATAATTGTAAAAAGCTGTTTTCATTTTTACGTCAATGTATAAACCTGTATATTTATTTTTAGAATACGATTTTGTAAATAAGAAATGTTTGCGACCTATATATTTTTTTTATTAACGATATTGATTCAAACATTATTTCAGGAAATTATTTAAAACACATCGCGACGCGTAGTGATAAAACCGGATAAAACATTAATTTTGTTTGTTCATGTAATAATAATAATGAATATGCGCATTATTACTTAATTTAGCACGTTCAACACACATACTGGTCCCTTATTTATTTATTTATTTATTTATTTATTTATTTGAACATATTTCATCAGGATAACAAGATCAGAAAGGACTGGTTTACATCCTGGTCCTGAATATTAAAAGCTTACACTAAAACATCAAAACAGAATAATCATACATATATAATGAGAATTGTTAAAATACTCATGAAGTCATGATAAAAATATATAGTGACCATAATCTTGAGTAAAAACCAAGTCAAAAATACATGATATTTAATTAAATATATAAAAACACAATAATGGAATCAAGTAATCAACTAATCTATTCAAAATCAAAACTCTATCACACTACAAAATGAACTTATATCATGAAGTACCAAATTAAACTTAAAGCAAAAAGAGCAAAAACAACGATGATATTATTCATAATTTGCTGAAATAGGTTTTTTTATACATGTTTTTAAAACAGTCGATGGATTGTGCATTTTGTAGGTTAGAGGGTAAATTATTCCATACTTTGCCGCCTTCGTAACGTAAACTATGCTTGAAAATTTCAATACTAGGCTTGGGAAGGACAACACTCATTGAGTTAGCCAATCTCGTATTCATTGGATGCCGTTCAAAAACCATGTCAATAGCATTGCACAAACGTAATGGAGCGTAACCATTATACAAGCAAGGAAATAGTTACGTCTTTCTTCTAAAACCTGCCATTTCAATCTTTTAACAATATCAAGACCACTTTCATTAAAATCAAAATTCCGTTCAACTATCCTTGCTGCTCTTTTTTGTAATCTAAAAATAATGTTCTTGTTGTAAACAGAACAATTCCCCCATATCGAGCATGCATAATCTGATATAGGTTGGATTATACATTTATAAATTTTATTCAACACATTCGTATCGGTGAAATTACTGACCTTTTTCAAAGAAAATATTTTATAAGCTAACGATTTACTGAGCTTCTTTACATGGATATTCCAGGTTAGGTTTTCGTCCAATTCAATTCCTAAGTACCTAATGTTTTTTTCTTGTTTGATTTTATTTCCATCCAAAGAAATGTTTAAATCCTGACTATTTTGCGAGTTGCGTTTCAATAACATACTGTAAGTTTTTTCAGTATTAACTTTTAGTTTATTTCTTTTATACCACTTATTAATTCCCTCTAGATCAGCCTGCAGCTTATCCCTAATAACTTCGATATTCTTATCAGAAATATATATAACAACGTCATCAGCATATATATTGCATGAACATGATCTTAGACATTCACTTATATCATTAATAAAAACAAGAAAAAGTAAAGGACCCAGTGCACTGCCCTGGGGTATTCCAATAGACAGACTCTTAAAATTAGACAGTTTCTCATGACAATAAACAGTTTGTTTTCTACCAGACAAGTAGTTTGAAAACCATATCAACTCATTATTCTGAACACCATATCTTTCCAATTTTTGCAGTAATAACTTATTATCGATACAGTCAAAACATTTCGATATATCGAGGAAACAAGTACCAACCATTTCACGTTCATTAAAAGAATCATACCAATCATCTAAAATCTTATGTAAACTTGTTGTTGTCGAGTGGTTTGGTAAAAAAGCATATTGATCAATATTTATAAAGTTGTGTTTTTGAAGATATAAAAGTAATTGACTCTGAATTTCTTTTTCCAGTAATTTAGCTAAGTGACATACCACCGAGATGGGCCTATAATTAGTCATATCACCCAAATCCCCTTTACCCTTATAAATGGGAGTGGTTCGATTAAGTTAGTTATTTCATTAAGTTAGTCAGTTAAAAGTTCAAGATGTACACATTATTGCAAAAAGCCATTTTTATGTTTTTCGTACTTGCGAAATTTGCCGCCTAACTTTTTAGATGATTGTTTTCATGACAATCATTCGTTTGTTCCATACTCTACCTGTCACATTCGCATTGATGTCCTAAATTATGAAAAGTATGAATTTTCTCGTGCCAGTACCACTATCACATTTAGTTGTCCAAAATTATGGAATTTGCTTTGGTTTGAAATAAAGAGTTTGAAATGTCGAGTTTTAAAAAGAATTATAAAATTGAATTGATTAAGTCTTACATCCCCTGATGAAATACCCTTTGTTTCGTCTTGTGTGTGCGCGCGCGTGGTGCATGTGCGTGTGTCTAAACTATTTCGTACTTCTCTCTATGAATATACATGGTATGTCATTACAGGACAAACCTGTCATTGGACCTTGTTTGTCCCTCCATATTTTGATATGTTTTTTTGTTATTTATATCTGTTGTATCTTTGTACATCACCTTTTATTGTTGCTGACTTAATTTATACCTTTACTAGATTGTTATGTTTATAGGTATAGTTGTGTATATTCTTATTGTCGTTTTTATCGAAGTGTGGAAAAATTAATTAAAATTGAAATATGGTATTTCCTACAAGAATATTAAAGGTATTTATATGACCGTGTAATTCTGCATGAAGTTGATAATTATCTCCGGAGTCGGTATACGAGAAAACAAATATCTTGGTTTTGCTTTTTCCACCCAAACTATTGAATACTATTATGCAATCGCGTATATTATATCAGATATATAACACTTTCTATTTTCAACTCTGATAATGATAAACCATCGTCATTTAAGTATTATACTCAAGTGTATGTACATGTATATTCAAGTTGGTGTGTACACTGCCAGCTTGAGTAGTGGTGTAGTGGTTCATTCAATTGACTCTCAATATAAGGGTTGACGGTTCGAATCCCAATCCGGTACTGGGAGGACATACATCCAAATTTGTCATTCTACACCCAGGTGTAAATGGGTACCTGGCGTTTGCTAGGGTAATAACGATTGCAGGGCCCTCATATAGAACATCAATGAGGCTTCCCTCGGTAAACAACATTATAATGTCGATGATTATAATTATAATTATTATCTAGAATCTTGATTATCACCAATGTTGCTGTTATTTGTATTATTATTATCATTCAAGGGCAAACTGACATCATAATGAATGAATAAATAAATAAATATATGAATATAATCGTTGTTGTTGTTATTGTTACGAGTGCTTTTTTGTTTAATGTTTGTTCTTCAAATGCCCTAATATTCAAAATACGACGAAGAATTGCTGAATCGTTTGAACTAACTAATCATGCCACATGTGTATAGTCCTATATAAACTGACTTTTCCCACTGAATTATATTGACTCTTTTTTTTCAATGTAATTACATGACCAGAAATCAACTTAATCTTTAAAGTAATATCATTTTACCGAGCTTCGACAAAGAGTGAGCACTATTTTTTCTTTCTCTTTTGCCCCCGGAAATTTGAAAATCGTGCCGGCCGCTATTTCGCTCAACACCGACCCCCCCCCCCCCCCTCCCCCCTTGAGCAAAAAAAAGAGGAAAATTTCTAGTCACAATTATTATTTTGCCCCCCCCCCCCCCCCTGTATTCGCGCCTGATTCTAACTGCTTTGCTCTTATTCTTAAAACTTCAGTTCATGCCTCTATAAAAAACAGGAGTATGGCATTTGCAAATGTTCAACATTTAGAAGGAGATATAGGATTTCCCGGCAAAATTCGCGAGTTTGTCATTCAAATTAATTTGTCTTGCGTTCAAATTTGACGGTTTTAGTGCAGTCAGGTATATCTCGGGTTTATATTCCATTTTCTAGTTTTCAAATCTATGGAATTTTCGTTAGAATCTACGTATGTTTCAATCAAATTAATGAACAATGTGCTTCTTTCGCTATTTGGTCATTCGATTTGGCGCAACACGATTTTCAGACAACGCGACGGACTACTTCTAGCATTCTAATTCATCATTAATATTGTAGCATTCAAATTAGCACTTTGTGCACTTAAATTGATGGTGAATATACATTTCTCGTTTATTACACACTTTTTATAGTTCATTCTTTTTCTTTCAAGATTGTTTTTTTCATGTGTATTTCATCATATTTCATTTTCTTGTATTTATACACTTATACTTATTAGATTTATCTGATATTCATCAGCATTTA